GCTATTTTCTTATGCAGGAATAGAAAACTACAAAGCTCTTTGGTTGATAAGATAGCAAACAAACACTCTGATTCCTTTACCAGGGGCATCTTGGAACGTGTTTCAGCATCACACATACATGACTGATTATACACAGCAGGCCGTGAGCCTGAATCCTTGGAGTCTGTAAAGGTATCTTCTACACGTGCACGTGTGCCGTCCAGAGAGCTGCGGGTACACCCAGGAAGTGCTATTTGTATAGTTCTCTTTCAGATACAGGAGTCATGCCTTGGGATGGTGCTGGCGTAGCAGCCCTGTTATAACATTTGGCCAGCAGACCCTTTGTCATCTTTGAAGGTCCTATCAGGGACTTCAGAAAATTTTCCTAATTCACTTTTAAATAAATCCCTAATTTAAAGGACCTAACTGCCATTCTCTGGGCAATATCTCACACACAGAGGCCCACAAACTTTCCAAAGACTGCAGTGCATTTATCCAGCATTAATTAATTACTAATAAATAGTTAATAATGAATGCACCAGGCACCAATCTTCACAAAGATGAGGAGACACAGCCTGGGCCTTCAGGAAAATCACTATCTCATAGTCACTACACCCATGTAGAACTGCATTCCAAGGCCCTGGGAGGAGGTGGGGGGGACCGCGTGGGCTTTAAAGAAGAGAGAGTGTTTGCGCAGAGACGCAGTTCTAACTTTGGAAAGGATTTCTGCGGCAGGTTCAGGACCCCTACCCTTGCCCTGAGTGGAAAACCAGAGGAAAGCGGAGCGAGACGTTTCTGATCTGCGGTATTAGGTAACGCTTGGTGGAGTATTCGAGTTCAAGGAAAGCACCAAATAATAGCAACCATAAGCCAGGACGTCAATCTTAGCTTCAAGCACCACCTTGGTTCTCATGAAAGGTTCAAGTCACCTGGCAGCATGGGAAGAACACACATCTTCTCCTGGATGGGCCCTGTCCCAGGTCAGCCTGAACGGTACCCAACGCTGCTGCCCCAGCTCGGAGGCTGGCGGAACCCACATAACAGGTGGAATTCTGTATCAGTAAGAGACTTCCAGAGTGTTTACTCCTTGCCAGATTTATTTAGCAGGTATGGGATTGAAAGGATTTCCCCACAGGATACGGACACACGAGTGTGCGGCGAAAATGCTTTTTCAACAAACGCTCCCTCTAATCAGGTCTCGGTTTCCACATTCTAGCAGGACAGCGCTCGCTGCCCTTCACTGGCATTTCAGGCAAGAACAAACAGCCGCGCTGACAAACCAAGCCAGCTGAAACGTGGACATCCGTCTGTCACTCTGAAGAGCAGCTGTCGCTCTTCGCTCTTGCAAAACCCACAGCATATTTTAATATTATGTTAGATCTGTACATTGAAGATGAAACAACTTTAGGTGTCTGGGAGCCTAAAACATCTGAACGAGAAGGGAAAATACCTTCCCCCCACTGCTTTGTCTACCTGGGGCCATCCTTAGATGGTTTCCAGAAGCTTCTCAAGTTTATGCTGGGTCTAAAGAATGTGTTCATTAAGAATCTGCCATATCAGAGCTTAAAAATGCAGCTGAATGTTTACGGGTCTTTTGAAGGCCCTGCTGGGAGTGGGGACGAGGCCACCCCAGCAAGGTTCTTATCTAACGCTCTCTTTCTCTGCATCTACAGTGAGGCCAAAGCAACCAGATGAAGAGGGAAAAATCACCCCCTCATCTGGCCTGTTTGATGTCAAACATCTGGACGTTACATAATAAGCCACTGGGGTCTTTTTTTCTTGCTCTCCTTTTTTAAAAAAAGGCCTAACAATTAAATCTGGTTTTTAAACACGACATTTCATGTATTTTCCATGAGCTCTTTGAGGGGACTGGTCTTGATTATTCTTTTCCGTTAAAAATCGTACAGTAATGCTGAGAGAGGAAATCACTAAAATAAAGCTGAGAACCACGAAGGTAACCTCTGAGCCTTCCTCAGAGTCTTCAGACGTCCATTCCTCACGGGTAAGCCGCTCACGGCAGTACGGAAGATGCCCACGTGCTAATGGCCGTGGACGCCGGCAATCTGCACTTCGGGGAGCACTCGCTTCTGCACAGCGGCTCAATTTTGCACAAAGAGGAAAGATACCAACAACTCTGGAAATTGCTTTCTGTTTAGTTCGTTACAATTTTTCAAAGCACCTTGAGGCAAACCAGTGGACTAGAAAGTGTTCTGAGACCACAGCTGCCCATAAGATAGCCAAGTCCTCGGTCAAACACAAGATGTGTCCATGAGGAGTGAGTATCCTGGTCCTCTCTCTCTCTCCCTCTCCCCCCGCACAGAACCCGCGCCAGCCTCCTTTACTTTTCCAGGAACTGGTGAGTCTTTCTCATTAACTGAGGCTATTTTCCCTTCCCTGGCTACTGTCTTTCCTGCCTCCTGGTTACTCCTCCAGCTCCCTACTGCCACCCACTTACCCCTAAAAAGCGAGCATGTGAACAAAAATGGTGAAACATCATGTCTCAAGCACTGTGGCAGGCATCATCCCCACATTATTATGGAGAAACTGAGGCTCGAGAAGATTAAGTAACTTGCCTGCCAAGTGGCTGAGCTGGAATTTGAACATAGGTCTGTCAGTAGACATGGTAGTGTAAAACCATGGTTGAGAGCTTGGCCTTTGAAGTCTGCAGACCTGGGTGTAGGTCTGAACTCTGCCACTTAACTGTGTGACTTTGAGCAAATCACTAAATTTTTCTAAGCTATCACTTTCCATATCTGTAAAATGGAGATAATAATAAAAGTGTCTCCATAGGGTTTGTGATAATGAGAAAACGAAGGTAAAGTACTTGGTAGAGTGTGCTGGAAATTTTCAATAATTATTAGCTACCATTATTAGTATCCACTAGATTTGCTATATTTCACTCCATTGTACAACTTCCACAAGAACACTCTGCCTTTGGCTGTTAGGCTTTAAATAAAATATGCTAGTTATTCTAGATTTAGTGGCAAGTAACAAAAATCCAGTGAAGAGTTGCTTAAACCATAGGGATTTTTATTGTCTATTCAACAGGAAGTTTGAAAGTAGATGGTCCTAAGGTAGGTTTGGTGACATAATGATACCATCAGGGAATCAGGCTCATCTATTACTTTTCATGCTCACAACATGGCTGCCACAACTCCAGACATCACATATTCACGTGATAGAATGGAAGAGAGAATGACAATAATAACACTCTCTTCATATTACTCTCTCTTATCAGGAAGGAAAATGGTTTTCAATGGCTTCCAGGAGGCTTTACGTTACATACCCTTGGTCAAAAATGATTACATGTCTGCACATGTCTGGCAAAGAAAAATAGGATTGCCATGGCTGCCCGCAAACTTTTTCCATAAAGGGCCAGATAGTAAATTATTTAGTCTTGGCAAACTATGCAGTCTCTGCCACAACTAGTCAACGCTACTGTTGTAGCATGAAAGTGTCTACAGACAAGAGGGAGACAAATGAGTGTCTGTGCCCCAATAAAATTTTAGCAAGAGAGCCAGCAGTTAGATTTGGCCAATCCCTGTCTTGGACCAATCATGATTCATCTGTGTCCCTGAGTCCATGGCTGCCCAGATTAAACTTGGGTTCCAACAGCAAGGAAAAAGGAGAATGCCTATTGGGCAGGGTATGCCACAGGGACTGGTCCCAAAGACTCCTGGGAAAGAGGAGAGATGTGAAGTTGTGAGGAGCAGACCTGGACTGTCAGGAAGCTAGGGGTGTGTGTACAAGGGACCACAATGAGGGAGCCAGTCATAGGCCCCTGCCCCCACAACTTTAGCCAGAGACCTGTTACTTTTATCTGTTCTACCTACAGGCAGACCTTGGAGATGCTGTGGGTTCCAGATCACTGCAATAAAGCGAATATTGCAATAAAGTGAGTCACAGGAATTCTGTGGTTTTCCAGTACCTATAAAAGTTATGTTTACACTACTGTAGCCTATTAAGTGTGCAACAGCAGTATGCCTAAAAAAAAAACAATGCACATACCTTAATTTAAACATACTTTACTGCTAAAAAATACTAATCATTATCTGAGCCTTCGGTGAGCATAAGTTTTTGCAACAGCAGTGTCAAAAAAATCACCGATCACCATAACAAATATAGTAATAATGATAAAGTTTGAAATATTGCAAAAATTACCAGAAATGACACAGATACATTGAGTGAGCAAATGCTGTTGGAAAAATGGTGTGGATAGGATTGCTACAAACTTTTAATTTGTAAAAAACAAACAAACAAACAAACAAACAAAAAAAAACACCACAATATCGGCAAAGTACAATGAAGTCAAGAATGAGAAAAACAGGTCTGCTTGTATTGCATTTCTGTTTGGGGTGCTTTTAGAGGCGGGAGCAGAGGAAAATCTCCAATAAAAAATTAGAAACTCCTGGTCTAGAAATAAAGATCTAATCTTCCCATAAAACATCCCTTTATAATTATACCTCCCACGATTCCACTAAATAAACTCTGCCCCCATGAGACGCTCTATTCACAGCTCTATTCACGGAGGCCAAGTCCTTCTCCTGTTTCTCTGCTCATCATTTTCCTTCAACCTTCGCCCCACTCACCTGCAGGCTGGGATTCCCCTGTTAATTTTACTCAAATAGAAAGTATCCCCAACATACAAGACCCCTTGCCAGCCTAGCATACTCATTCAGTACTTACTATCAAGCAAAAGATATAGTCATTTTCTTTACATTTCATAAATCTAGTTGCACAGAAAGAATAGAAGTGAAAGGTGAATATACAGGTGAAATATAAAGGTGATTAGAAAAAATATACATATTTAGAAAAACACTGTAGACTTCCAAAAGCATTTTATCCCTTGAGTATATCCCTTGGAGTACATGCTCTCCAATAAGGTTGCCAGGACTCACCCTGTGGGGGACTTTTCTCTTTTGGAATTACATTTAGATCCAATTTTCAAGCCACAGAAGAAACCCAACCTTATTCAGTTAGAGTGTATTCTATTTCCTTTTTCTAAAAATGGTTTCTCTTACCTTGATCGCTGACTTCTTCACTGGAGTCCAGATGACTTCTGGATGGTTCCAAACATCACGTCCACCTTCAAGAGCAGCCGTCAGCACTGAAGGTATTAGCAGATGTGACTTGCATTCTGAAGGCCATTCCTCAGAAGACGCCCCCACTGTTCACGGCGATGGCCACTCCACAGCCATGACCGGACTCCTGAAAATATGACAGATCAAGGAAGCCCCCTCAGCGGTACAGTCAAGGGAAGTTCTTAGGCAGGAACAGTTAGAGTTGAGCCCTGAAGTCTGGTGAGGTTTGGTTAAGAATAGAAATAAAGATTCGGAGACGGAGAAGCACTTGAGTTCCACACCTAGACTCTGAAGTCTGGATTCAAATCCTGGCTTTGCCACTGACTAGCTGTGGACCTCGCACTATTTATTTCACCTCTCTGGACCTCAGCCTCCTCATCTACGAAATGGGAATAATAAGACTACTGCTCTCTCAAGGCTGCTGCTGAGGATTAAATGAGTTAATACAGGTTCAACACTAAATATGATGGAAATGTTTGCTTTTGTCAGTATTAGGAGTTTCTGAAATCTCATTGACTGTCTTTCCTGGTCAGTCAAAGGGATTCATGAATTGCCTCATTTTTTAGATATTAAAAAGTGTAGTCCATATGCATGACTGGGACAATACCAGAAACTGACACATGGTAACTGACTATACTCAATTTAAAGAAAGAAGAAAAGAGGTGTAGTCCAATCAAATAAAAAACCTGACCTCTCATTTCAATCACTGTTTCTCGCCTTCCACCAACAACTGGAGGCAGGCCCAGGTTCGGGAACTCGTGGTGGGGAAGGGGACATGGTCTGTATTGTTTCTTCTTCTTGGACCCTCTGCCTTCTCCATTCACTGGCTGGTGACTCAGGTCACGCAGGGCCCAAGGAACAAAGTTTTTCAAGAAGGGCTCAGTTGTAATTAGGGGTTGGTGGCCAATATATAAATGCCTGCTCTTTCTCTTGTGGGGTACTTCTGTGGGTTATTCTGATACCCCCTCCCCCATGGTTGGAGGTCCCCTTTCATGGGCAGCCTCTGCTGGCAGTTTCTTCCCCCACAGGTCCTTGTTTGTACTGCTCACCCGTGCCTGGGGAAGCAGGTCCACTCTGCCAACAGGAAGACTAGTTAGTGCATGTGTGCCCTGCCAGCTCCTGGAAGTAGAGGCTGTTCCAAATACCTCCGTCTCTTGCCACTGTAAACACTTCTCTCTACTCTGAGGTCACATCAGTCCAAACTCCAGAACACACCTGTAAAGTTCTCCAGGTGGTTCTCTGGAGCCCTCCTCACTTATTTTAACATCGGTGGGAAAGCACAAGAGGTGCACACTTTCATTAAAAAAAGTCCCCTGCTGGCCTTTCCTGGGCCCTTCCTTCGCTCCCATCACACAGCCTGGAGGTGAAGGATGGCACTGACTCTCCAGCAATCCCACAGTGATGGTCTGCACCTCGCTGCAGAAAGTGGGCAGCTATTAGGTTGGTATGTGAAACACCAGTCTCAGTGGAAAGTCCAGCATGTGTGAACAGGAGTCCCCCTCTATCGTCCTGCCAAGGGTGGGTGAATGCTAGGTTGCAGCAGACTGGGAGCATTGTGGGAAATTCCCTGCAAGGCAGCTTAGGTGGCCCAAGGGAAGAGCTTGACTACCAGAGGGGATGGAATTTGGGCTTCATGGTATAGACAATGGGAAGCCAAGGAGGACTTCTCTCTGCTTTTTCCCATGCAGAACACCCTCTGACCGCTCTCTTTCTGGGAGTTAGGTGGGCCTGATTTTTTATTTAAAATCAAAAAGGCGAGTGCCAAGCGTGTGCGTGCGTGTGTGTGTGTGTGTGTGTGTGTGTGTAGGGGGTTAGCCTGCAGCAGGGGACACGAGACCAGCCACAAGCCAAAGAGAAAAGTGAAGAAAGAAAAACAAATAAAAAGTCCAGTGAGCAGAGAGAAAAGCCGACCCTCCAGCCCGTACACTAAATGAGGACGCCTGGCGCCTGCAGCGAGGTCAAATGAGGTCAGAGGAGCTTATCTCTCTGTGCGCCTGAGACTGAGGGCATCCCGGGACAGCGGCGGGGCGGGAGGCTCCCCGGATCCACCTCCTCGTAAGCAGGTCAGGATCCCAGGACTCTCGGAAAAGGTGGAGGTTTAAGTCTTTTGCCCAAAAAAAGGGAGGCTGCAGACTGCTTCTTCTGGTGGGAGAGGCTCTCAAAAAGAGACAAAGAAGAATTGTCGAAGTGTCTGCAGGTCTCCTTCAGAATCAGTTCTCAGTATAAGGGCCCTAAAACAGAAAATAAATAAAACACTCCTGAAATCACCAGCATACCTGCTTCAATTACACGCCCCAAATCCTGATTCTCTGAGTTGGGGACAAAGAGAGACGTTGCCGGGACCATGAGGCGCAAACCTCCCACAGGAACCGGAGGTGCAGCCCACAGCGCCCGAGGCCCGGGGGTGCCAGCGTTCGTTAAACTTTTGCGGGAGGGATGCGCTGGCCCCAGCCGCCCGGTGCGGCTCGCGCGGACCCCGGCAGGGCACCA